GCCCCTGGACCGGGGTTTGAACCAGGGACCTGCTCGCTGAGAGACAACAGCTCTACCAACGGAGCCACCTGGATTTTAACCATAAATGTCCCAACTCATGAAAATAAACATCGTGTTTGAATATTCTCTAAGTTGAACAAACAGTCAGGTTTCGGTGTATTCACATGACTTTCAGTACTTTGTAGTCTGAGACTGAAAACATTTGTGTGGAGGTAAGCACATTTTCACAGCAGGTCAAAATGTCTGAGAATTTATGCACACTTCCACACCATTTTTATTTTGATATACCTTGATATGTGCTTGGAACTTGGTGCATGCAACCTTTTTGTGCGTACGTACCATTGATACACGAGGCCCCAGGTCTTTAATCGGTACTAAAGACAAGATGCATGAGCAATGTGTGCATAAAAAACATGGTTTCCAGCCCACACATCTGTAAAGTAAGGATGTCCGAGGAGAAAGAGCGCAGCGTTCTTCAGACATTTTTACATGATGTTCTGGAAGCACTTACAGAGGGCCTCCTCAGGTAACTGACCTTAGCCTCTACAAATTGGGCTAATACTCTCCCAGGCTCAATATGCATCAAGATACTGAGCAGAGCAAAGTAGCAGACATTCATCCTTATCACATATTTTGAGAGATGAAAAATCTCCCATCTCTGGCATCAGAATCAGCAGGCAACATGAACTCCTTACAGAAATGCTAGGTTTTTACTTGGTTCCCTTCGTCCCACATGTGGTCAATCATTTCTCTCGTCAATGTAACACGTCTTTCACAAAACACAACTATAAGCAGAGGTGGAGAAAGTACTCAAACACTGGAGTTAAGTAAAAGTACAAATAAACAAACAAAAATGTACTCTAGCAAAAGTAGTAGTACCACATTAACATTTTTACTTGAGTAAAAGTAAGTACTTGTTTTTAAAAATACAAAGTACTTAAAGTATTAAACATACAAGTACTTGCTGAATGTAGTACCTAATGCAATGGTCTACAATATCATTAAGTGTGCCTACCGTTAGCAGTGAGAGATATGGCTCAAATATAATATCTTGATATTTCAGAGCATTCTGATGATAACAATAAATTTTGTGATATAAGCAAAAAATAAAAATCATATTTATTCATTTGACAAAATTAATTTAACATGTTGCTTTGCAGGCAGCACGGTGGCGCAACTGGTAGAGCTGCTGCCTCTCAGCGAGCAGGTCCCTGGTTCAAACCCCGGTCCAGGGGCCTTTCTGGGTGGAGTTTGCATGTTCTCTCCGTGCATGCGTGGGTTTTCTCCAGGTACTCCGGTTTCCTCCCACAGACCAAAAACATGCATGTTAGGCTGATTGGTAACTCTAAATTGTCCCTAGGTGTGAGTGAGAGAGTGAATGGTTGTTTGTCTCGTTTGTCTCTATGTGGTCCTGTGATGGACTGGAGACCTGTCCAGGGTGTCCCCCGCCCCTCGCACAGTGATTGCTGGACATGGACACCGGCGACCCCCGGGACCCAAAATGGAAGAAATGGGTAAAGATAATGGATGGATGGATGTTGCTTTGCAGTATTATATAAAAAATGTACTACAGTTACTTTAGTAAAGTATTCAGTCTAAAAGTATAAAAATAATAAACATCCTCATGTTATGTGGCGGCTGTGGCTCAGAGGTTAGAGCAGTCGTCCTCCAATGCAAGAGTTGGGGGTTCGAATCCACCAGCAGTCACATGCTGAAGTGTCCCTGGGCAAGACACTGAACCCCTCGTTGCCTCTGATGTGTGTCTCATCAGTGATGAATGTGATGAAGCTCTGATTAGTCTCTTTAGAATGATTTGTTCTATTATCTTTGTAGAGATCTAGTATAGAGCTGTATGAATGGGTAAATGAGGCACAGATTGTTGTGAAGAGCTTTGAGTATCTGGATAAGATAGAAAGGCGCTGTACAAGTACAGTCCATTTAACATTTACCATATTATTTAGATTGAAAAAGTCATTTTAACCGAAATAAACACATTGAAGTAAAAGTTTTCTGCCTGAAAAAAGCAGCATTAGACTTAACAAAGAACAGGCTCTGATCAATTCAACTCCAGTTTGTCATCAACTCTAGTTAAAATACTGTCTAGTCCACTTTGTACTGGGTCAATAGTGAACAATATTTTAACTTCCTAAATCCATTTTCAAAACTTGGACCCGAGTGTCGAGCCATTTGGAGACATCTGTTGTCTCCTGTCCTAACAAGAACTGATATATTTTAATATCGCAGCAAGAATTTCTTGTTCAAGTTCAGAAGTTGTTTTCAAAGTTTTTTGAGTCCAGTCTGGCTCTTTTGGGAGAGAGAATCTGTCCTGCTGTACAGAACAGTCTTTCAAAAATCTTTCAATAGTCTTTCAATAAACTTTCAATAGTCACTATATCAATTAGTCACTATAATTTTCACTCTGCTACTGTCTTTACTTACTCCGCTCAACCTGTTTTGTATTTGTAATTATTTTTTCTATTCTTAACATGTGTTTTTTTGTCTTTCAGATACACCTGGACCTATACCTGGACCTGGACCTATACCTGGACCTATATCTATACCTGGACCTATATCTATACCTGGACCTATATCTATACCTGGACCTATATCTGGACCTGGACCTATACCTGGACCTGGACCTATACCTGGACCTACCATTCTGTGTTGGTCTGTCTCTCCTTCCTGTCCTCTCAACCAGCCGGTCAAAGCAGATGGTCTCTTGTCCTGAGCTGGTTCTGTTGGAGGTTTCTTCCTGTTAAAGGGAGTTTTTCTTTCCACTGTCTCCACTGTGCTTGCTCAGGATGGGAGACCAACGAAGCCAAGATTCATCTTGTCTGCTGGATTCCTTAGATAGAGAACTTTACTAATGGGCTTTTATGTGAATGTTCCTGTAAAGTCCCTGAGACAACTTTGTTGTGATTTGGCGCTTTAGAAATAAACTGAATTGGATTAAACTGAATAGTCTTTCAATAGTATTTCAATAATCTTTCAATCTTTTAATAATCTTTCAAGTCTTTCAAAAGTCTTTCAATAATTTTTCAATAATCTTTCAATAATCTTTCAATAGTCTTTCAATAATCTTTCAATAGTTTTT